AAAAAAAAAAAGGAAAATGAAAGACTCCAACTGCATTTGGCCCTCTAAATGGAAAACACTATCTTAATTAGCGTTATAATAAGTTATACCTGTAAAGGCCAATGGGACCATCCGATTTGAAAACTTTGACTATACAGTCCGTCAGCCCCTTGAATTCACGGCTAGCGCCTTTACCGATATCAGCTGCAAGCCTGGTTCTTGCAAAGTCTAATGGGTACACAAAACACATAGATGCGGCACCTGCAGCACCACCAGCTGCCAAGTTGCCCGCAAAAAATTTCCAGAATTGCGTGTTTTTGTCGATTCTGAAGAACACAAATTTAAAATAACAGCAATACCACGTGCCCATCAGTAAAAACATAGTGATTAAAAGTACTAACCCCTCCATAAACATCTTTTTAAAGGTATCTTTGAAGGCAAAATTCAAGGCTTGCGTCGGGAAATATCGGATGACATTGGCCAAATTACCTCTCCACAAGGCAGTCAAACCTTGTTCCTTTGGCACCCTTATTAATACATCAATAATACCCTTGTAACGTTTTTCTACTGCAATGGTTTTTTGTGCATCTTGTACCTGAAAGACACAACTTCAAAATCCAAAAAGGCTACATACAATGGAGAGCACCTTAATCCGTCATAAAAACCTGCCTGTAAAAGGATTTTAACTCTTTCAATAGGTGCGACTGCAGTCTTCGAAATTGCTGCGGCTGTACCACCGGTAGCCAAATCAACAAAGAACTTTTTGGCATCGAATTTCTGAATTTCCTTCTTCTTTCCTGCATAGCAATAGGGAATTATATGTGAATTAAGGACAATAGAAGAGAAAAAAACTAGACTACTAAATGCACTAAAGCAAAAATTGTTGAAAATAAGACTAAACACAACCACCGTTTTAAATCTTGTCACCGAGAAATAAAAAAAATACAAAAAAATTTCAGTATTTTAATACTAACAATCCCTAAAACTTAATGATTAAATCACCAACTGCAAAGAACATTGCAGCTCTAAATTAAGCAAAACAAAGATCTTTTTCAAGGATAAAACCTTATACCTATTATAAACTCTTATCAAGCTTATACACAAAACAAGACATCAACAAAAACTTAATACACAAAGTACGCCGATCTTATAAAAACCGTGTGCCAAGTAATTTCAACAGCTTTTGCCGTCCTTTCCTTTCCGAGTGAGAAAGCATGGAGTGGGATTAGGGAAGCTAAAAAGCCATAAACCCTGTAGCTCCCACCCGTGCTGCTCAAGAACGGTGTTACCGATCCGAATCTACAGTACAATATATAACTAAGTATAACTAATCATTTTCCCTAGCTTCAACTCTTCCTCTAAGGGAATGAAGGAAGAAAAAAGTAACTGGCACAGAAAAAAAGGTAAAATAATTGGGAAAGAATAATGAAGTAAAAGACTTCCAAACACCCTAAACTTCTCACCTTCTGAAAAAAAAAAAAAATTGGAATACAAAAACTACCAGGCTACAGGTAAAAATCTATGAAAAAGTAACTAAACAAGTAAGTAGGTGGCAGCGGATACTACATTATACATTAGGATTTTATCATAAAATGAGAACATTCGCAGTTTTCAGAGCGATACAAACCTTCAGCCATTATTTCGGTTTTGCGTCGCTACTCTCTGCCCACAAGAAGCCAATTGAGAAGAACCGCCTACGAGACGCGGACTGAAATAAAGTGAACGGTGCTATGGACGGGTGCAAAGCAAGAACCAAATGGACGACGCACGCATGCCTTCTGCACACATAGCAGCGTTCACGATCGCTACGTGCCATTCCCAACAAATCATCGCAGAAAAAAAACTATGACGCCAGACAAGCACGAACATAAATATAAAAAAAACTTAAATCTATTGCCTAGCTGCCTGTTGACTTCCTTACTTATTTTGACTTTTGACTGATACTCGATCTGTTTGATTGAGTAAATCCTAAAGCTAACAGATTCTGTAACTAAAATTTTTTAACTAAACAGCTAATAATTACCTAATGGTACAGTATACGTAAGCACAAAAGTGGTTTCATCATCATCATTGTCATACTATATTTAGAACTACACTGTATGTTACAAGTGAACGGTTCAACCAAGAACTTTGTCACTACTAAACAACGCTTAAAATGGCAACAGTAGCAGCAACAAATACAATTAAGGATTTGATTTCCCGTATTAGTAAAATTGAACGTTAATACGATGATGGAAATAGAATTTAAATTCCCAGGTGTAAATCGTTCAAACAAATGTAAGGAACAAAAATGAACTGCATCCTATGCACATTACCAAGAAAGAAGTCACAAAATTTACGCTGACGTTACGCAGGAGAAGAATATCCAGTAACAAGATGATTTGATGACGATGACGAACAAGCTCACCGAGCTGAGAGAATCAGGCGTCAGGCCAGTGGTAGTGGATGTAACAAATCTTGAACAGCGGAAATAAAACCGAAACGTGCAGGCGAAAGCGTCTCGTGAATATCGTTGTTGCTGCTGTTGTCGCGGTGGTGGTTGCTTGAAAATGAAAACTCCGTAAAACAGAGGGGAAATTGCTGGAGAAAAAAATGAACACAACTTCAGAGGTGAAGTAAAAAAAAACTAAGGCAAACTACCTAGTCCAAAAAAAAAAAAAAAAAAAATCTGCAAAGTTTCTGATTTCTCACCCTTCCACATTTCATATCATCTCCTTAGAATTTTCAAGTAAAACAGAAATTCAACGTTAAAAATAGCTGTTAAGTTACACATAAGATAAGACCTGCAACAAAAAGCTAACATCAAAAAAATAAATAAATAAATAGATAAACAGAGGAAGTTAATGTTATGAAAAAATATTAAAGGATAACAATAAGAACTCAACTCCCGCCGGTAAAAGAA